TGGAGAATGGAGATAGTTCAACATCTGCAGGACGAGGAGACAACAGTGGCTCCAAGGTTTACCATCAGGAAACATGTTGGTTCCAGGTTTTTTACATTTTTGGTGAATAAATAATCAAAGATCTTTTCCCTTCTCTCTGGTCTCATGGTTCTGACTGAGTCCTGCTGACAAAAGATGTCTCTGAGTTCTCTCTCCTCCTTCATGTGGTTCTGGTTCCACAGAGCTGCAGGACTTCATGCTGCAGAGAATCATGAACCTCAGTGAAGGAACATGAGACAGGAACTGGAGTTCAGAGGATTAAAACTCGGTTCTGGATCTGAACATTCAAAACTAAAACCTCATCAGAGTTATTGATCGTGCCGATCAGGATGGAAACAGATATCAGCAGATAGAGATCAGAGAACAGGTGATTGATTACCGATCCAGCCGGGTTTGCAGGATGGTTTGACCGTCACCACGACCTGAGCGTCAGCCTGAGCCCGGTTCTTCCCGCAGTCGAAGGCGGTGACCCAGAAGGTGTGAACACGTTCACGCTTCGAATCCAGCGGCTCCGTGTTCTTGATGTTTCCTTGAGATGAAGGAAAGGATGAGAAATGATGAAACCAAGAGAGAAAGGAAAGGAAGAGGAAGTTAGTGATCATGGCTGCTGTCGCTGCATGTTTACTTTGGTGTGGTTTGGTTTATTCGGATCCCATCAGAACCAGCATGAGCATCGGCTGTTCTTCCTGGGGTCCATATGCACAGTCACACCCATACACACAACGACCACAAACACAACATCACAGCTCAGCTCGTTAACTTTACAATTAAGTCCAATAAGGTAGAGAAACGTATTGTCATTCAGTACAACATACATTCAATCATAAACAGAACTATAAAGCCGTCATTAATCTAACTCAGAATTCTTCATCATAAACATATAAATATCATCTTCATCATCCTGTTCTGACCCACTGGAATCCAAGAAAACCGGGCAACAGCACATTTTACATTCTTAGCTCTCACCAGCATTACATTTTACTCTGAAACACCATTTCCTGTCTGTACCGTCTCAGAAACTGTAAATATTGTTTCAACAAAATGTTGAAACAATCTTTAGTGATGGAAGGACGAGACGCAGAACAGACGAGATCAGAACCGCAGGAATCTGAAGGCTTTCAGGGGAACAACCTGAACACGCTGTGACTGAAAACATCTGCATCTGAACACGACTCAACAAAAGGTCCCTGTCTGCGGTACCAGTCTGACCCGAGACAGCCGAGCTGAGTCAGGACGGTTCTGCAAAGTCACGCTGAGGAAAAGCTGAGTCACTTTACAGAATGAAGCAGTGACGGTCTGAGATCCAAGAAGCAGCCAGAACAAAGCCATGTTTTATCAGAACAATTGTCTGTTTCAGCTGAAGTGCAGCTGAGCAGCGCCGACACTCAGAGAACCCTGAATGCAGAGATTCTGCAGACCGAGGCCCGACACAGAACACAGCAACAGCGACTCCTGTTTCTGCTGCAGATAAAAACTGAAGGTGTGACATCAGCAGTGACATCATCTCACCATCGTTGTCGATGGCGAAGGGCACGTTGGGCGTGATGATGTCATAGAAGCAGATCTGGCTGTACTGCGGCGAGCAGTCGGCGTCCAGAGCCTCGACCCGGACGATCCGGTCGAACAGACGTCCTTCTGGGACCGAAGCCTCGTAGCGCCGCTCCACGAACACGGGAGAGAACTCGTTCACGTCGTTCACACGCACATGTACGGTGGCCCTGAGGGACAAACAGCAATAAAGACGATCTGCTTTCCTCGCTGTCAGAAACATGAAAACAGATCCTGTTGGAACAAGGCCTTCAACACATGTTAAACTGCTGCTTCAAACAGGTTCAACTATCATTACAAAGATGGAACATCTGCTTTAAAAACGTGCAGTTCTGGTTCTGACTTGTGGGACTTCTTGCTGTTGACCCCGTCCGGACCCTCTCCACAGTCGTAGGCCTGGATGGTGAAGCTGTGCTCTCTCTGACTCTCACAGTCCAGCGGCTCCTTGGACCGAACCAGACCCTCACCGGTGGAGCGATCCAGAACCACTGCCTCAAACTGTACCGAGCCGGAACCAGAGGGACCATTATGGACCCGGAAGCCACAGATTTCCCCTGTGGGTGGACAGATGAGCAGATAAATGATTTTTACATAAAAACCTGCCGGCGTGTTTAAAGTGGCTCCAACCGTCAGAAACGATAAAAACAGGAAGAGTCTCGACATTCACATCTTTCATTTTGAATCGTTTGTGTTTTCTTTATTCTGGTCTCCTGGAGTCCTGCTGACGGAGGACGTCTCTGAGTTCTGTCTCCTCCTTCCTGTGGTTCTGATTCCTCAGAGCTGCAGGACTTTAGTGAAACATGAAGCTCAGTGAGATACAGTGAACCAGGACCTGGTGGAGCTCAGAGGGTTCAACAAATTCCTGAACATTTGTTTGAAAACTGTGGCTGCTGTAAACCTAACTCAGAGAACAGGAGCTTTATTTTTCTAAACTCAGCCTCCTCCTGCTGGTTGAAGCTCCTCTGGTTGCTTTTCCCTCGTACAGACCTCATCAACCCCCAGACTGGACGATGCGTTCGCTGTCCTCTGACCAGCTTCACTGTCACTGAGGTTCCTCTGAATCTGCCTAAACTCGTTTCATGAAGCTGCATTCTGTGCTTCTTCTCCTGTTTTGCTATTTTCATGTATTTCTGTGTGAAGCAGTGATTTGCTGCATAAATAAAGGTTATTTTTCCAAAACGTCTGGATGAGCCGGTTAAAGTTTAGATTCAGCTCAGCCTCCTTTCAAAGAGCTCACGATGTTTAAATCAGGAGAAACAAACATCCGGCATTAAAAACACCTGATTGTTACTGAACTGAGTTCAACATTCAGCAGCACATTTAAGTGGTGCTTTATTCCAGGGAGGCCGCCGTCAGTAGTCAGAATAAAACCCTGAATACGGAGCTGATCTTCTCTGGACGACAGCAGTCGAGGCTTCGTGCTCACACACCTAATTTCCTCGTCGTCCTGACACCAGCTCAGTAAGTTTCAGGGAGCCCCGCAGTAATGCTCTAATTTGACTGAACGCGGTTATTTCCACGATAACCTTATTTGATCAGGGTGCAGAGCTGCTGCTGCTGCTGCTGCTGCTGCTGCAACGGAGGCTTGAGTTACACTACGATGGTCTAAAAATAGTGGACTGAACACTTGAATATGTAGAAGCTGTGCAGGGAAACATAGAGCAGTCTGGGATGTTTGGACCTGCAGCACGGTTCTGTTACCAGCGTAGTGCAGCGGAGCGTCTTTGTCCAGAGCGAACAGAGGAGGGTTCAGCAGCACCGTGTTGTCGTTCTCCATCACGATCCCCTGGTACTCCGTCTCGATCCACGGCTTGTGCTTATTGGCTGACGGCAGAGAACAGAGGCTTTGGGTTAAACGGAGCAATTAGGAGGAAGCAAAGCGTCTATTTTTAACTCTGGTTATGGCTGAGGATGGGAGAGACGCTCAGCGTATGTTACTGTGACCACAGAGAGCGGCTCGGATCAAACCTCATGTTTAACGTCTTTGTCTGAACCTGCTCATCTCATAACCGCTGCCTCTAGTCTGTCGCTGCAGCTTCTTCACTGTGAATCTTCTCTGGTTTCTTTCCTCCTCTATGACAGGAGCCTGAAGATCTAAACAAGACATTTTCTGACATTTTACAGACCAAACAACTAATCGACAGTTCAAAGAATGATTGTAAATCATCAGCAGCTCTGGCATGAGCAGAAAGTTTAGTTTATAACAATCAGGTTTGTAGCATCCATCATGTGAGCTGTGGAGGCTTTTATCAACTCGACACGGTTTCCTGCTTGGAATAATCAAACATCTAGAGGTCAAACTGTTCACTATCAGCAGCCCTTCAGCACTCATTTAGCAGCTTTTTGGTCCAAAAACACGACCTGAGAAAACGACCCTGAAGACTCTGAAGACGTCGTCTTGGACTCTGGGAAACTCTGACCAGCAGTTTCAGTACTTTTGGACGTTCTCTAAACGCTGGACGGTGAGAACGGGGCGGCTGCAGCTCCACTCTGCACAGTTTCATTAGTGTGCTCATCATCCTGGTCTCCTCAGTCCTGCAACAGCAGAGTCCAAATGAAATGCCCGAGGTTTACTGTGAATTTAACCTTTAATTGCTGATTAATTATTCATCAGCGGCTGAATGTTCAGTGCTGAGTGATCAAAGGCCGAGTTAATGAGCCAGAAGGACGACGATTTTACACTCCAGCAAAGAGCAGAAACAAAAGCCGGAGTCCCTGTTGTCCTCAATCCCTGAGTCTGGAATCAGAGACGTTTGTTTGGAGGCGCTTTGTTGTCTTCACAGTGAATTTTACAGAAAATCTGACTGGAACTAATTCAGTCGTTTTGTGTGTCAAAGGAGCCAAAAGCAGAAACTGCAGCTGGTTCTGATCTGATCAAACTGCATCCAAACGCTGAAACCTGAGTTCAGAACAAAGTGCAGCTGCAGCGAACCATCACACGCCATCCCATAATACAGCAACACACCAAACTCCCCATCAGGACACCAACAATCAGCTGTTTGGTCAGTACAGGGTCAGAAAATGTTTCCTCAGACGTCTGGTTCAGTCCAGAGAGATCCAGTTTAGTGTCAGAGGACAGAACCAGAGAACCTTCAGACTGGAGGAGCTGAACCAGAGTTCTGACTGATTCTGTCAGAAAATGAAGCAAATGGACGAATCGATTATCAGGACCGTTTCTGATTGGTCTAATCGCTGACATGTTTATATGTTTTAGTCTGTTTGACTTTTTAAATGAGATTCAACTTTAAAATACAAACTTTACTCTGAGATCATGTTTGGGTTTGAATAAATATTTGAAGGCAGAACTTTTCCTTGTAAGTGAGAATATTTGCCCTGAAATGCTGCTTTTAGAGCATCAGTCAGGTGGAGACGCCTGAACATGAGTGAATCTGTTCTGTGTTAACCAACCGGCTGAACTTCACAAACCTCATTCACTGTTTCTGACCATCCATCTACCAGTGGAGATCATTCCTACACAGAATCAGTCAGAACTCCGGGTTCAGCTCCTCCAGTCTGAAGGTTCTCTGGGTTCTGTTCTCTGGGACACCACACTGAACATCTCTGGACTGAACCAGACGTTGGAGGACCTGAAGAAAATAATGAACTCTGAGCAGAAGGTTCAGATTCTGAACCAGCAGCTGCTCAGGTTCTTCCTCAGATTATCTCCACGAGAACAGGTTCTTCTTCTTCTTCTTCTGTGTGTTTAATGTCTGAACACAAGCTGCTGCATCAGCGGTTCAGCTTTAAACCAGTCAAGTGTGACAGCGAGACCTTTTAATGTTCTCTGCTTCAATCTGGAGAAACCGCCACCTGATAGGACCTCCCACATCTCCTCCTCTGTCTCCTCCATGTCCTCCATCTCCTCCCACATCTTCTCCTCTATCTCCTCCTCTATTTCCTGTATCTCCTCCATCTCCTCCTGTATCTCCTCTTCTATCTCCTGCATCTCCTCCAACATCTCCTCCTGTATCTCCTCCATCTCTGTATCTCCTCCTGTATCTCCTCCTCTATCTCCTGTATCTCCTCCTGTATCTCCTCCATTTCCTCCTCTATCTCCTGCATCTCCTCCCACATCTCTGCATCTCCTGCATCATCTCCTCCTGCATCTCCTCCATCTCCTCCATGTCCTCCTCTATCTCCTCATCTATCTCCTCCTGCATCTCCTCCTCGATCTCCTCCTGCATCTCCTCCATGTCCTCCTCTAT